TGCGTCCTGGTCATGGAAATGCTCAGCTTCAGATCCATCCAGTACAGTGGAAGAGGGGTCTCATCCAAGGGGAGAGCATTGCAATTTTGTGCGTTTGAAACTACGGAAAGCATATTCTTTTAGGTGCTAACTCAGTTGGGGGGATCATGCGGCGGCGCGGCGCTTGGTCCCCTCAACTAAGTTAGCACCTTCTTTTATTGCAAACGTTCAGGACTAAGCCTTAGAAGGGAGGGAGGGGGGAGTCCGGGTCAGTGAGCCATCTTCGTTTCCCCGGGAGACTTCCTCCCCCTCCTTGGCTTAGTCCTGACCTGATGACTAGTGCATACTTTTCGTAGACGTTAAAGCAACAGTCCAGGCAGGGTGGGCGTGGTTGGAGACGACGGCAATCCCCTCGGCCGATTTCCTTTTTGGACTATACAGCCCCAACCCATGACATAAAAGGTGAAGGCTCCCAGAAGACAATACCTAACCATTTGGGCGCGGCCGCGGCGAACGGCCGAGTTGATAGGTGCCCGCGAACTCAGCACAGCACAGTTCGCGGGCACCTCGAGTGCGTTTTCAACGGTTCGCGGGCACAATCGACTCGGCCGCGTTCGCCGCGGCCGCGCCCAAATGGTTAGGTATTGTCTGGAGCCGTGTTAGTGAACAAAAACACAACTTGGGAAACCGCTAGGAAGGGAGCTAAAGTAAGCTAAGTCGTAATCGGCCGAGGGGATTGCCGTCGTCTCCAACCACGCCCACCCTGCGTGGACTGTTGCTTTAATGTCATCTAGTCAAGAACACACACATCATAAAAAAAACACCTGAAGAAATAACATAGAAAAAAAGCTGATAACAGATCTTAAATTCAAAGGACCCTCTGGGCCAAATTAGCACCAGAGGAGACAGTGCACCGCAATGCCCCCCCCCGGCTTTTTTCACGATTTGGGGCGCGGCCGCGGCGAGCGCGGACGAGTCGAGTGCCCGCGAACTGTGCGGGTAAATTTGAAAACGCTCACCACCACAGTTCGCGGGCACTATCGACTCGTCCGCGCTCGCCGCGGCCGCGCCCCAAATCGTGAAGAAAGTGGGGGAGCCCCCCTACGGATTGGACCCTGGAAGAGGAACTCGGGGGTGTGAAAGCAGTTTTCATTCTCTCCAGAATTCGTATCTCTCTATCCGACTTAGATCCAGTGGCCTTTTCAAATACTGCCCGTCCCCCCCCCCCTGGAAGCACTGCGCCAGAAACGCGGTACGAACTCCTGAACGTTATCAGTGAACGTGGCTTGACTTTCCAAAGCAAAGTGAACCCATCATGCTTGGCATTACATCGTGGAACAGTCAGTCACATTTAATATTTATAGGACAGTTTTCATGTCGAGTGCCTGAGTTGCTAGGCCAGCGATGGAGGAAGCTGCTGTGCCAAGTAAGCAGTTTTGTGTGTTGATCTCTGTGTTGCCTTAGATTATAAAACGGCGAGGCAGCCAGAAGGGTTGCGAGGTGTCCACCCACAGCTTGAAACTTCTTGCTACTAAGTTGCCCTTCATGAAAACCTCGCTCAGATATTTCTGGTGCTAAATCTGGTGGCAGCCTTTCTGAAAAGTATCCTACACTTTTGCGGTCTTTGACAACGGATAATGCGCGGCCAACAAGTTCCAGAGAAGCTCCTGCTTCGTCGTCAGGTAAATGATTCACATTAATTACTGCTCATATAGAATTACGTTGAAGGTCGAGACCTTAGTAAATTTAGTTCAGCTGACGAAGAAAGCCCTGCTTATAGACGCCGCTTTCGTGTAAATTTATCGGGACATCTGTTTCATGGGGTGCTTGAGGCCAGCAAAAGAGGAGTCCATCCAGTGGTAAGATATAACATTCCAGGTGAGTGTTTCGAAATGTTCATGCCAGTTTTGAAATGACTGCCTTTTTGCAACTTATTTTTTCTCAGGAGGGGAGTACTGTTATGCTTTCGAACGGTTGCGTACTACAAGCCGCGGGCAAATAGTGATATATCGGTGCACGGCCTGTAGGAAGAAAGGCACCAACACTACCATAGCGGTACTGAAAATTGTTCATTGATTGTATTACAGTATGTGTTTGTATAATGAGACATTCTAGGTGCAAAATAAATGCGAGTTCATCGGAGATCCTGCTGAACTCTTTCACGTCTGCAGTCCATTGGAGAATGCGAAAGATCAAGTAACGCGGATGGTTTATCAGGTAAAAGTTGGCCATTAATGCTTACAGACAATATAATACAATACAGGAAGAAATTTCAGTCGTGTCGAGCTATTGCGACGGATCCACTGCTTGCACAAGCGAAACCTAATCAGTTGTGGAAGAGTATAGCTGAGTTCATTGACAAGAATGCACCTGATGGTATGCTGCAATCTCTCTGTTGTACGTAGTCGCTAGTCGAAAATATCCTACATTCAGATGAAGCCCAACGTAAAGAGATGCTGAAGCACTTTTACAGGAACGGGTATAATTCAAGGAGAAGGTCTATTGCAAGGTAAAATAGTTTCTAGTTAATATTTTCTCATCTACGAAAATGGCCCTTCAGAGCAGCTGCGAAGCTTCACCGCCCCGCTGTCGAGAAGGTGGCAAATGAACAAGGAAACCAAGGAAATGAGCGGCAAAATTCAAGGAGTGAGAAGAAGTTGTCGTAGCCTACAAGAAGGTCAAGATCCCAACGACTTCCCAACCTTTATGGATTTTCAATGGAATTTGATCACATTTGGGGATAAGGAACTTTTATAGTA